GAGACTGAAGCACATCCCAAGTTAGAATGTCTGCCACCCGTTGACCCACACAAAAAGACCCTGAAAGGGGAAACTCTCTTCATCAGCACAAGTATTCATTGCACATATCCGTTCCAGGGGGTGTAGTTTGAGGAATCCTGATTTAGTGCAATATAAAAATGCAAATATTTTTTCTGCGGACCACCAAAATTTTCTCACAGACCACCCATGGACCACCAGTGGTGACTGCTGCTCCAGAGCACCTGATGGAAGATTATTAAGGACAGATCCAACCTAGAATTAAGAAGACATTTCCTGATTGTGAGAACAATTAGTAAATGGAAAGGCTCACCACTGGAAGAAATATTTGTTCCTTTACTGGAGCTTGTCAATATAAGAGACCGTACAGCCATTTGTCTAGAATGGTATAGAACCATGATGGCAACCCTCTGGCACGTGAGCCATTTGTTAGGGTACGCAAGGCATTGCCCTGTCAGCTCCAGTGTGCATATGCGTGTTGGCTAGGTCACTTCAGCCTTCATTTTCGGCCGTGAAAAACAACCCAAACCGGAAGTTCAGGAATGCACGTCCGGTTTGCGCATTGGGTCATTTTTTTCCCCTCCAGAGGCTTCAGGGAAGCCTCCTGAAGCCTCCGGAGGGTGAAAAACGGCCCTATAGGCAACCGGAAGTTTGGGGATGGACTTGCAGGTTGCCCATAGGACCACTTTGTGTCTTCCAGAGGGCCTCCAGAGGGGCGGGGAAGGCCATTTTCACCCTCCCCAGGCTCCTAGAAAGCCTCTAGAGCCTGGGGAGGGCAAAAAACGGGTCCATTGCACACCAAAAGCAGGTCAAGAAGGGGTCATGCGCACGGGGGTCACGTGCATAGAACTATGGGTGTGGGCACGCCTCACACACACACCCTGCACTCCCCCCCCCACTTTTTGCATGTGATGGGGAAAAGATTAGCCATCACTGGTGTAGGATCTTCTGCTTGAGCAGGGGGCTGGACTAGAAGACCTCCAAGGTCCCTTCCAATTCTGTTATTGTATGATTGTATATAATGTGCTCCTCCATTCTAACTTTTCTTTGCTGTATTTTTGCTGTTGTTCAGCAAAACAGAAAAGTGCAAACACTGAACAGCTGAAAGGCTAGGCATATCAAATAATTAGGTTCATTAATATTATGTGAGAGAGAGAGGGAGGAGGGAGGGAGGAAAGATGAGAAGGAAGGAGGGAGAGAGAGTGGGAAGGAAGGAAGGAAGGAAGGAAGGAAGGAAGGAAGGAAGGAAGGAAGGAAGGAAGGAAGGAAGGAAGGAAGGAGCTGTGACCCCCAATCAAAGCCTTTACATTGTACAGGTAGTCCTTGACTTAAGTCCAAAATTACTGTTACCAAGTGAGGAGGCAGTTGTTAAATTAGTTTTGATCTATTTTACAGCCTTTCTTGCCTCAGTTGTTAACTGAAACACTCCAGTTGTTCACCAAAACAGGAAAATGCAAACACCGAACTGAAGGGGCAAACATATAAAATACTGAGCTTCGTGTTTGTGTGTGTGTGCACGCGCGTGCATGCGTGCGTGTAAAGACAGCTATATCCACCTAATCAAAAGGCATGTGTATGTATATGTACAGAACCCATCTCTACATTCAAAAGGACAGGGCTGCAATTGCACAGGATCTGTTTTGATTGTCCCCTTCCTCAAAAATACCTCTGTTCTGTCTAGATCTGTCAATATAACTAGTAGTATCCAGTACGTAGTTCAGCTTTCATGGCAATTAAAAAACTAAAAGGAGAGAAAGCTGAAAACTGAGGCCCTATGAGGTTTCCAGCCCATATTAATGAAGCAACCAAGGAATGCAGCTGAACTTCTAGTGTTGAAAAGATCCTTGCACACAGGCTGAGAAATTCTCTGAAACACTAAGAGGCCTGTGGGTTGGGATGGGTAATTGCTTCGGTAAATTTTGTTACGGAAACTCATTACTGAGTCTTATTCCATTTTGACATTGCACTGAGAGGCTGGTGTTTGACTTTTAGTGAATTCTGAGTTTTAGTGAATTCTGAACTATTTCTCACACTTCAGGTGTCCTGGATCTGCATTTTTGCAAGCAGCAAGCTCTTCTGATTCCTCCAGAGAGCAGCATTTCAGTCGTGATATGAAATGGAATAGGACCCAAGTTTACTGAACTGAAACTTAGAGAGTATGGGAGATAGAGACGGGAAGGAAAATATTGTACAGGGTTGACTCCAATGACAGAAGAAGCAAAGGATATTGATTTGGTTTAAATAAGGTTGAAATATTAAGCACCCCATTTATAAAGCCATACCAAGTAGCATGCATAGTATTGGAACATGGTTACGATGTTCATTATTTAAAACTCCAGTGAGAACTCCAGTGAGGTCCTTTTCACTTATTTTACGGTGTCCAGCCGAATCACACATTTATTTCCCCGGTCATTCTTGTGGAGACCTAGAAACGCCTACCACCTTCTGAAGAGGAAAAATGTGGTGGGAAAATTGTTGTTGATTTTTTGTCCCCATAGATTTGAAATATTTATATTCCACATTTAATATGTGCACGTATTTTAACAATTTAATGAATGCAAATGAAGGACTATTGTTTCCCTTTTTGAAAATATCTATTTTGCCAATGGTAAAACTCTCACACAACGCTTACCAATGGATGGACTTATAATGGAGTCTGTATAATTAACCTGACCAATATTTTTAGGAGTTTTAGACCAGTGTTTGTAAATCATGATGCTGAGAAATCTCTAATTTTTATTAGCCCAGACATGCACAAAACCAACTACAGCAAATCTCTCTAGGAGTGGAAGTATATGTCAAAAGATGTGTCATTTGTAATGTCCTTGTTACATTCCTCTTTAAATGCTGATCTCTTTTTTTTTTTCTATGATAGAATGTTTGAAGATACGGGCATGAAAGCTTTTGTTTGATTTAGAGGTCTAAACATTTGGACTTCTATCACAATCACAGGTTAAGCATGATAGATACAATTTGACTCCTCACCTAAACATTTTCTTTTCATTGTCCATTGGAAGACAAGACTTCCTTTATTCACCTTTTTTCCAAAATTCAGATGCCTCTACTGTGTAGGCAAATCTTCTTAAACAAAGCAACTGAAGGTGCTGAGAAATAATAACATAGGAAAACGCTTTGAGGAAAACTCTTTGATCTGTGTCCTCAACCAACCTGCTTTTATTTTCCCCATAGAAAGAGAGACTCTGAATAGTTTTGCAAGTTTTATTATTTTTTTGTTTGTAAATGGTAATACACTATATTGACTTGATACAATGATATTAGTACAGGATTAATTGATATTAATTATGTTCTAAAGTTTAGAGAACTTTGAGCATTAGAGATAATATAAAGAACAAAGAAGTTTCACAGTGTGGATTTACAATTTACGATACTGATGTTACAAAGAGTTAACAATAATAATAATAAAAAGCCTACCAAAGTATTTATTGAGTAATAAAAGCTGCTAACCTTGATCTAGTTGCTTGGTTTTGAAGTCATTATTGTAATATTTTATATGTAATATGGATATAGAGACACATACATGCATATGTAATTATGTATGTGCATGTTAATAAAAACACAAAAGTATGATAAGGCAAAAGCAATTTAATCTATCTGCAAGTAGCATCACAGTATTTGTTCTGCAATAAAGATTTCAAACTTGAACTTGAAGTATTAAGTCTAAATTCTAATGTTTTGTATGTAGATATAGATGTAGATATAAACACCCACACACTCATACGTATATGTGTGCATTTTAATAAAAGAAAAATTATGATAAAAAGCAATTTAATCTGTTTGCATGTTTTATCAAACTATTTGTTATGCATTAAAGATTTCAAATTATAGATATAGATGCATTCACATATCTGTGAATGTTAAAAAATATGGTAAGCAAAATTAACATAAGAATAATTTAAATACTAAAAATTAATCTTTAAAGTGGGAAATTTAATAGAAAAAGAACTAAAGGGTTTATAATTTCCCTCTTCTGTAGATCTACTAATGTGTCAAATTGTTGGTTTTAGATGGCAGACTGTGATGGTTTTTGCCACGCAGCATGTTATATTGTATGTCTGGCAACTGTTCTTGTTTAAAATTGCTTAAACTTCCCTTATATTAATTCTCCATTGCTGCATGTTCTTCAAATTTCAGTTAGATATGATCAGAATTATATATTCCTTCCAATGCTGAGCAAAATTTATTTTCTAATTTTTTTGTGAGATTATAGCTAGTAACAAGAGTTGTGGTTTCATTTCAAATTAAATTCCAATTATTATTTTTTTGGCATTGTACTAGTTATATCTTTTCAGTACTTTGTGGGATTTTTACATCTCTATTAAAAACAGTCCTTCTGTTTCCAAAATTTACTACTGTATTAACTGTTTATCTTAAATATTATTAATGGAACTGTATACCATTGGTAGGATATGTTGTACCTATTTTATTTTAAGTTATAATTTGATGTATATCTTATAGACCATGCCATATTTTTCCTCATTGTTGTGCGACAACTGTTTCTTTAAAACATTGCATCAATTTGATCATCATGTTTTTGGGTTATTCTGTCTTATTCTGGATCCTATCTAAGTAAAAGTTTATATAAGTGCTCCAAGAGAGCGTGTTGTTTCCAAAAGTCAAGACTTTCATATATTTTTTTTAGCTCTCCACCCTCTCTCAAAAATCAATTGCCTATACTGTATGGCACAATCTTCTTTTTAAAAAAAATAGTCTGAAAGGGAAGGCTGGCTGGCTGGCTGGCTGGCTGGAGAAATGTGAAGTTTATACCTCTTTAAGGTGCCTGGGTTGAAGAACACTGTCTAAGTGAGGGAAGAGAGAGTTAGGGTCACCCAGCTCCCTTTTTTTTCTATAAAGTGGACCTTTCTAAATAAGCAAGAGTTAAATGCTGCAAAAAGTTATATATGGTTTGTAAATGAAAGGATAATGCATGCATGGCTTTCTCAGCTCAATGCAGATTTAGGATTTCAGCAACTGAGATCTTTTGCAGGCTGCTGTTCCTTCTTGTAGGTTTTCTTGGGAAGAGTGCTACAATCCTCAGCCACGGCGACACTTCTCAGGCTGAACAGATCTCTGCTCGGTCTTGGTTCTCGGTGCAGGCGGCTCCTGCTTAGCTCTGCTATGCTGGCTCCACGCCGCTTACTCCTGCAATCTTTTATAGCTACAAAGAGGTCAACCAGGCCAAGAATTAAGGAGAAAGCACTGACAATCCACAGTAAGATAATCATGGTAGATTTTTCAGTTGACCTAGGGATAAAGCAGGTTACTTTACTTGAGCAAGATTTGTCGGTACAACTGTATAATTTCTGAACGAAGAAACCAAACAAACAATAACTGCTAATTCTGAAACCCACTTCTATCATCAGCCTCACAAAGAGATGAATTGCATAGGCCCGTGAGAAATCAGGAATTGTCAATTCATGGGCAGCACAAGAGATTCTGCTCTTTTCTGCATCATTGAAGATGGTTTGTGCACCACTGAAGACGGTGGATAGTTTTGTCTGCTTGCAATAAGTGCAAGGGAAAGAATAGATCTTCACCACTTGCTTGACCACACTGTGCAAGATACACATGATAAACACTGCAATAGGGATCAGGACAGACATAAACTCAAAAAACCAGAAGCGAACTTGAGAGATTGTGATGAAAGCATCATAGCACATGCTTGCGCATCCTGGCTCTTCAGTATTGCAGACGAGAGCTGTCAATTCATCGTCATAGACAGGGTAGGCCCCAAACAAGATCACCATCAGTCTCATCAGGATCATGTAGATTAACCAAATCTTTCCTGGAAAGAAAGAAGGACGACCAATCACTAACATCCAGACATTGACTAGTCTGGTTGAGAATAATTTCTAATAGTGATCATACTTTAATCCTATGCATGTAAGGATTACAAAAACTGCTTATCAATCGCATTGGCAAGCTGTAGAAATAGTCAAATTTCCGTCAGAGGATGCTCATAAAAATGAGTCGTTTTTTCACAGTGCATAACATTATACATTTTGGCCAACTTGGGAATACACATGGAAGCTACATAAATTATTACAATAAATAACTTGATCTTCAATGCATACATCTAGTCCCTTTTTCAAACTCTTTAAGTAAAATAGCAATAGCAGTAGACTTATATACCGCTTCATAGGCCTTTCAGGCCTCTCTAAGCGGTTTACAGAGAGTCAGCATATTGCCCCCAACAATCTGGGTCCTCATTTTACCCACCTCGGAAGGATGGAGGGCTGAGTCAACCCTGAGCCGGTGAGATTTGAACCGCTGACCTGCTGATCTAGCAGTAGCCTGCAGTGCTGCATTTAACCACTGCGCCACCTTGGCTCAGCATGCTGAACAGATTGTGGACTCTCCACATGTTAGCTGAGAAATGGCTACCTAATAAAGCACACTCTTTTGAGGAAACCTGTTGACTTAATGGCCTACCTTGTTAGGAAATTTTAACATTTAGTCACACTCAAAATTCATTGCAATTTCCACCCAGTGTTCTAGACCCGTTTATCAGCGTAATAGGATGTAAATTTCTTCTCAGTTAATCTTCAAAGATTGCTATATTATATGTTCACTTACTATTCTGTTTTCTAACTAAACACATTCAACCAGCTTAAGCTATTTTCTTACAGGATTTGGTTTTCAAGTCATTTATAAACCTGGTTGTCCTCACCTATTTATATCTCATATATCAATATATTTATTTATCTATATATCACACTGATTTTGGATACATTTTGTATTAGTCAGCTCCATCAGTTGTTTGCATTGAGTGAAGAAGTAGTCCCATCCATCTTTTCAAAATCTTTCATTAATTCATTTCAGATTCAAATTTTGTATCAAAGAAGGACAAAAATTACATCCTGAGTCCAGCCTGGGCTCAGAAGCTAAGCAGAGTTAGACTGGGTTTTTACTTGGATGGGAGGCACAAAGAAAATTCCAAGTTTATAGACTAGACTGGGTAGTAAACAGATAAATATCAGAAGAATAGATTCCTTCTGTTTTCCATGGATGTGTTTATAAAGTTGCCAGGAATCAAGCCCAATTCAAAAGAAGCTATATACTCAATGGCCATTATGTATATTTCATTGTTTCCCATAGGAACATAAAATCCAAGCTTTTCCCTCTTTTTCTTCACTATCAAATGGTATATTGTAAATAATGTATGGTTAGAAAGTCTCTTCTTTTCAATCTTAGTATTATTCCAGAAAAATCTTAGTTTTTAGGAATAAATGCTGAATATAATATAGTACTGACAGTGTGCTTTTTGAGTTTTTCCATAAATCAAATGACTGATGTGATTTATCCATTACAGTGATCATAGATTTAAAGGGGATCAAATCAGGAAATAAGTTAAATAATGTAAATCTAAACTATTGAGTCTGCCAATAGACAAGGGAAAGAAAAAAGCAGACAATATATAAAACAGCAATACCTGAACATTTCAATGACTGCTTTTGTAAAAACAGTCTCATTTTTTAAGACCGCTGGACAAGGCTTGATTTTAAGGCTATCACTGCTGGACAAAGATGGATGTGTCTTCCTTTTGCCTGAGTCTTCCAATTTTTTTTCTTCCATTGCTCTTGCCAAAACTAAATCTATTAATTATATGCTACTTCGCGGGAAATTGTTGATGATTAAGTACTTTAGGAAGCGTTCTGATCATATTCATTTGTATTTGTGGCTAATTATTACTTAACAGAATAATATTAGTTTGTCCTGCAAGACTAATAAACTCATTTTCTTTTGCTATAAAAGTTTGACTCAAAACTTTTTGCCGCTTTGCTTCCACACCAGTTATTTATGATCCCATTTTGGGGGAAACGTGTGCAAAATTCTGATTCGTTTTGTTTCTGAACATTTCATTTCATCTGGTTCGCAAACCAGTTCCCTTCCCACAACGCTGAATAAAGTTTCCCAAAAATAAAACAATTAAACCCCAAATGCAAATGTCTAAATACTTACCTACGATGGTCACATTATAGTTGAGAACAATGAAGTAAAAGCCAAATGCGTTCCAGTATTTCATAGTGGAAGTCATTCTCCGAGCACTTTTTTCTATGGGAAGAATGAGATGCAGCAGTCTAAATGAGACGAGGGAGAGGAAACATTAAAAATAAAACACTAAAGCTGGCTTTTGAGAGGAGTAATGACACAAAGTAAGCAAAACTGGCAGAGAAATGAGACATCTTTGGAAAATATAACTCTTCCTTACAGGGAGCAAAATTTGTTAAAATCTGAAAATCAAGCAAACAACATTGATTTCGGGCATATACTTACTTAAACCTCTGCCAAAACAAAAACAAATAAACAAGTTGAAATTGAAGAACAAAATAAAAGCTAGACTTTTAGCAGTAATATTACTTAGCAGGAGAAATTTATCTTCCTAAGTGAAGCAAGTCCAAACTTCTAAACAATCAACTAGAGATGCTTAATGTTTGTCTATCTGCTCACCTTTTACTTTCAGGATGAGACTCTTTCTGGTAGCTCTTTCTCTTTCTCTCTCTTTCAGAGAAATAAGCTCAGCAACAAATTGTCCAGCCTAAAAAGCACTGAAAGCAAATTGTCTCCTCCCACCATGCAAGGAAACATCTGTCACAGTTATCTGTTGTATCTAGACCAAAAAAAAAAAAATCCCTGCTGTGGATGCACACATTTAAATGAACCAGTGATATTCATCATTTCGAGGTGACCCAGTTTGATATAGGGAAGGCACCTTGCCAAGGGAAGGGAATTATCTATTTTTTTTCTTGCAAGGCATTTTTTTTCTGCTCAAACTTTGCCCAAGAGCTTTTACTGAGCTTTGCCCATTCTATAGCTCAGTAACAAGACATTAAGACTGTACCTTTCCATCAATAGCATAAGAGCAAACAAAAACCACCAATGAATGGCAACTATATCGTTAGATGATGGAAAACATTCCAATGTCGATAGTTTGGGTCCCTTGTTGTCCAAACACCAATTTGCACATAGGTTTTATCCAGAGGAACCCCAACATGAGATCTAAAGATATTCTCTTCCTCTGCACCCATCCCAAAGTGTGTCTTTTTGCCTGTGCAGAATATTTTTAACCTTTATCTGAGTTTAATTGACTCACATCTTAGCAAATTCTGCACCTGGAGGTTATAAAGATGGAGGATACTCTGACAGAGTATGTATTCCTAACCTATTTTTTAGAGATAGTCTCCCATCTGAATATCCTTTAGGAACATGTAGGGTCTCAGAGATGGGCATTTTCAGAGACACCATTTCTTCTAGGAAATAATGAGCATCTCACCTATAGCAGATGCAACCAGGTTGCCTTATGAATTGTCCTTTTCATGTGCATCCTGCCTGGTTCAATTAAGAGATTAATGGGCCTTTTTAAAATATTTAACCTGAACAAAAGTGCATATAGTCAAAGCTATGGTTTTCCCAGTTGCAATGTATGACTGTGAAAGTTGGACCATAAGAAAGGCTAAGCTCCAAAGAATGGAGGCCTTTGAACTATGGTGCTGGAGAAGACTCCTGCAAGTCCCTTGGACTGTAAGACAAACAAACAGGTCAGTCCTAGAGGAGATCATCCCTGACTGCTTTTTAGAAGGCCAGTTCCTGAAGAGGAAACTTAGATACTTTGACCACCTAATGAGAAGGAAAGACTCACTGGAGAAGAGCCTAATGCTGGGAATGATTGAGGATGAAAGAAGAATGGGATGACAGAGAATGAGGTGGCTGGATGGAGTCACTGAAGCAGTAGGCTTGAACTTGAATGGACTCTACAGGATGGTAGAAGACAGGAAGGCCTGAAGAAGGCCTGTTGTCCATGGGGTCATGAATAGGTTGGACTTCGCAACAACAACAAAATATATCTATCAACAAATGACTGTCTAAAAACTACTCAGGATTGGAACAATTTGTTGTTTCTGTGTGTGCACTGACAGAAAGTCCAATAATTAATCCAAATGAGAAATATCTAGTCTGCCAATGGTATAGATCTAGCTGAGGCAGCAGAATGACAAAATCCAGGAAACTTTCCCCCAAAATGTCCTTATGGAGACGTGGCTCAGAATGTTATTTATGACTTCATTCTAAACTCCTTTTTTCTCCTGGTAATGCAATCTATAGAAGAGTGCTCCTATCTTACCTAGCATACACATCTACATAAATATTCAGTGGGGATTTTGTGCCCATAATATATGGGGAAACAATATGAGTGGTTTCAGAAGCACTGCTTTGACACTTTTCCCTGCCTTCCTAATTTTTATATTGTTCCAAGGACATCAACATGATCTCTCTGGGGCAGCCTGCACTTGCTTGATGTCCTCCAACAATATTAACCTTCCACTCCTATCACTTCCATGAACTGACGTCTAACAGATATGGCCACCTTGTTGGTGAAGGCTACTCTGAAGCACTCAGGGAAATTAAAATGTTCTTTCTCAAGATCATTGATATTGCATGAATGTCCCACTGATCTTTCATTTTTAACAGGATCTCAGTTCAATAACTGGGAATTCCATAACTTATGTATTACCCATAGATTTATTTACAGTATATAGCAGCATGCCACAGGCAAAGAAAGGGACCTGCCTAACAGCAAGCAGATTTTTTAGTGTTTGTTTCTTAGTCATTGCCTAGGTTTAGAAAGTAACTAAGGATTTATCAACAAACCCTCCTCAATGTGCTTTCCTTTCATTGAAAGGACGCTAGGGAAGCGCCCATGCTTGGTGTCAATTCCATCAAATTTTGTTTCTTTACAATTTGGATAGAGATGGGAAAAACAATCTCATGGGAGGTCTGCATTTGATTTTTCACAAGATTGAAAGTTTCTTGACCAAAGCAGACAACTAAGGAGTAAATAGCTATAGGGGCATGGAACACAGCAATCTGCAGAACATAGACCAAGTCAATTAGAATCCAGCAAGTTGCTAACCCTCTGAAGACTTTTCCTCCAAGTTAGATGAAATGGGTCTTTTCTCTTGCTCTTCTGTGGGAAACCTTTTGCTGGTTCAAACAGTTTCTGTCTACCTCATTGGTAGGCCAGTAAAGTGATGGTCGCTCCATTATGAGGACATAACCTCAACCACAAGCAGCCCCAAAGTGGAGCAGAAAAGCTGTTTAGATGAGACCCAAGACGCATGAGAAAAGATAGGTGTTTATAAAAGCTGAACTGCTTTTCACAGTAAAGAAGATGCTAAAATCTTCATTTTCTGCTCATTTTTCATCTGAGTGAAATTGTATGTATGTATGTATGTATGTATGTATGTATGTATGTATGTATGTATGTATGTATGTATCTGTGTGTGTGTGTGTGTGTGTGTGTGTTCCAGCATAACTCTGGAACGCCTTGAGCAATTTCAGCCAAACTTGGTGCACAGATGACTTGTTCTCTGGAAAAAAAATACTCTAGGGGTAAGACACACCTAAAAACCCTTGGGTGTGTGTGTGTTTTTATTGTGCCTTAAAATGGCTTCTACTATGCTGCCATAAAATGGCTTCTACTGTACAGCAGGGACGTGCAGTCACTAGAGGCAAGGGAGGCGGAGCCTCCCCAGTCTCCTGAGAGAAAGGAAAGAGTTTTAAATATTTTTTTTTTAATGAATTAAAGCCAGGATAGTTGCTACCAGATTTCAAGTCAAAGTGGCTTGGTGTCTGCTCTCANGGAATACTGCATCCAGTTTTGGTCGCCACAATGTAAAAAGGTGTGGAGACTCTAGAAAGAGTGCAGAGAAGAGCAACAAATATGATTAGGGGACTAGAGACTAAAACATGAAGAACAACTGCTGGAACTGGACATGTCTAGTTTGATGAAAAGAAGGACTAGGGGAGACATGATAGCAGTGTTCCAATATCTCAGGGGTGCCACAAAGAAGAGAGAGTCAAACTATTCTTCAAAGCACCTGAGGGCAGGACAAGGAGCAATGGGTGGAAACTAATCAAGGAGAGAAGCAACTTAGAACTGAGGAGAAATTTCCTGACAGTTAGAACAATTAAATCAGTGGAACAACTTGCTTCCAGAAGTTGTGAATGCTCCAACAGTGGAAGTTTTTAAGAAGATGTTGGATAGCTATTTGTCTGAAGTGGTGTAGGGTTTCCTGCCTAAGCAGGGGGTTGGACTAGAAGACTTCCAAGGTCTCTTCCAACTCCGTTCTATGTTTGAAAGTATTTTTAAGGTGATTCCTAACTGATTCAGTCCCTCAAACGAATCAGAATTACTGACAAGATACATCGCAAAAAAAGAAACTATTGCTTGCTGTGTATTTGCCACTCAGACTTTAATGATTAATGAGAGAAGATGAACATAAACTAAACAGTTCTAAAAAAACAACCACATCGTTAATGCAATTTTTCATTCTGCAATTAAATACACCACTGCTGAAAATAAGGCAATCAAACCGGCATGCTTGCAGTGACTTCTGAACCATTAAGCAAAATCCCACTTGTATAGACCGTCCATATTCCAAAGAGGGAACCAACATATCCTGGGGAAACATTTTCTCAATTTTTCTGCAAATGTAACCAGAGTGGTTTTAAAATCAAGACAAGTGGTTAAAAAGAACCATTCTTTGCTTAACCCTAAGCACACTTCATTTGCACTTAGTATGTTGTTCTGGGAAAGTAGAACTGAATAATACTTTCCATTTTGGAAGGTTTTTTTAGGGTTAGGAATTAAATTATATTGTTGAAAAAAGGTGCAAATTCTTTTTCTAGTACATTATATCTTATTTGTACATAATCTTTGCTTGAAAGAGAAAAACAAATGTTGATCATAGAATTATATGGGAAAATATAGAAATCAATTCTGCCTTTGAATCCTATTTTCTTTTTTTGGGTTGATCTCCCCCTTTTTTAAAATGGCAGAAGACACCTCAAGCCTCATTCCTGAGGATTGTAAAATATATGTGTATAGGCAGTCCTCAATTTACGATGACAATTGAGACCAGAATTTTCATTGCTAAGCAAGGCAGTTGTTTAGTGCATCCTGCCCAATTGTATGATCTTTTCTGCCATAGTCTTTAAGCAAATCATGCTTTCATTAAGCAAATCCATTTCCCCCATTGACTTTGCTTGTAGGAAGCTGTCTGGGAAGTTTGCAAATGGCAAACATGTGATGGATTGGGCGAACCAGTAATGGCAGGGGCTGGAGGCTCCGCCCATCCACCCAGATGCTTCTGCGCATGCGTACGAGTGAACCGGTAGTAAAAATAATGGAAATTCTATATGCTGGTTGATGAGTGCCTGAATCTTAATCATGTGATTATAGGGTTTACTGTAACGCACTGGTTGTAAGTTATTTTTTTCAGTGCCATTGTAACTTGAAATGACACTAAATGAATGGATGTAAGTCAAGGACTATCTCTATTCCAATCCAGATATTAAGATGAACACATCAATATGTACACACAACAACTTAATAATGAAAGGAGACTTTCCATTCTCCAAGACTTTTGGCTGGTGACCATAAAACAAATGGGGAAACTCATATATAACATTCAACAAGTACCTGAAAAAATATTTCATTATTAAATTGGGATCAGTATTGCCCAAAACTGTGTTTCAATTGCAGAACTGAAAAGGGAACGAATACATTTTGCCATATAATTTCATCTGTACTTAATTGTTGTTTTGCAAACATTCGAATCATTTCTGTGTCAAGGTTGAAGATAGAAAATACTATAAAACACTAAAGATTTTAAGTTGTCTGGCTGAACTTTCTTTGGGTTTATGGTATTTCAAGGTTTAACTAGCTTCCACATCCTAGTGTTCTTCCCATGCTTCTTATCTTTTGGCTTGGATTTGAAGGCCAATATCTCTAGATCAGGGATTGTCAATCTTGATAACTTTCAGATGCCTGAACCACAAACATCTTAAAATTTCCAAGGATGAGAAACACTGATGTGGAGAATACCATAGATAAAACATTTCAAGTAAAATGTAAACATGGTGGAATGATAAATTAGCTTTTGGAAATCAACAGATGCAAAAAAAGGCTTTCTTTCAGGTACAAATAACTTGAACTAGAGAACGGTGCCACTATCCTCTTCAAATTTTCACCCTGCTATCACCCTGCTATTAGCATACAGATTTTCTGTTTCAAAATTGAGACTCAGTATAGAACAAGGTGTATGGGACATGGTGGCTCAGTGGCTAAGACGCTGAGCTTGTCGATCAGAAAGGGGGCAGTTTGAATCCCTAGCACTGTGTAACAGAGTGAGCTCCCATTGCTTGTCTCAGCTTCTGTCAACCTAGCTGTTCAAAAGCATGTAAAAATGCAAGTAGAAAAATAGGAACCATCTTTGGTGGGAAGGTAACAGCGTTCTGGGCGCCTTTGGCGTTTAGTTATGCCGGCCACATGACCACGGATACGTCTTCGGACAGCGCTGGCTCTTCGGCGTTGAAACGGAGATTAATTAATTAATTAATTAATTATTAATTAGACTTATATGCCGCTTCATAGGACTTTCAGTCCTCTCTAAGCGGTTTACAGATTTTTTAGCAAATTGAGTCAGCAACTTGCCCCCACAATCTGGGTCCTCATTTCACCCACCTCGGAANCCACTGCTGAGGGTACAGTGTGGGCCTTGCGGTGACTTTTCACCACCCACAGTTTGCCGGACGTCGTGGTGTCTGACTGGTGCCAGTAGCCCCTTACCATCCAGCCAGCAATGGCCAGGTGGAGAGGGCGGTCCGATCGGCCAAGGATGCTTTGGGCCGCATGGACCATGGCGACTGGCCGGCAAGGGTGGCTGCTTACCTTATGGCCCAGCACTCCACTCCTTGCCCCATCATGCGTAAAAGCCATGCGGAGCTACTGATGGGCCTGCGCCTGCAGCCTACCCTGGATTGCACCCTCTCTATTCGGGGGAACAGCCTGGCAACCTGGGGGCCCCTTCCCATTCCTTCCGGGTGGGTGACTTGGTCTGGGCCAGGAACTACTCTGGGGACCCTCAGTGGATGCCTGCCACCATCATCGAAATAACTGGTCTCTGTTCCTACAGGGTCCACCTACCCGATGGCATCGAGTGGTGGCGCCATGTGGACCAACTGAGGCACCGCCACCCTCCAGAGGCGACTCCATCCGACACGCAGAGGCTGGCTACCGTTGCCTTGCAGCCAGCCCCAGGCCCTTTGCAGTTCGCAGTCTCCGTTCCGCATGAAGACTTCCACGAGTTAGGCCTCCCCTGCCCAGTTACTGTGTTCCAGCAACTGTTTCGCAGGCTCAAGCCGTTCCCACAATTCCCAGTTCCTCCAGTTTAGGTTTTCCGCTACCAGGTCTTCCCAACCCCCTTGCCGCCTGCCAGCCAGTTTGTAATTCCCCGCCTGTTCAGGCCACGCCCCCACTGCCTGGCCTACCTCCTCCTGAGATTCCGCCATCCGGACTAGGCCTCCGTGACATCACCCGGAGCTCCACTCCCTCTGGGGAGGAGCTGCTACAGGGACGTCTTACCTCTCCAGCACTGCCTCTCAAACTGAGGTGTTCTCGGCATGTCCACCACCATCCCACCTACCTTCATGAGTACACCTGTGCCATGTCGACGCATGCGCCCTCGCTGGGGGAGAAGAGGTGTTTTAGTCCTCCAGGCTACGACTGACAGCCAGTAACAGCCAGGCCGCACTTGATTGGCTAAGGCGCGGCATGGCTGAGCACAGGCTGTCAGACACGTGCCTATTGGCCTCCCTGCTTGACAGCACCGTATAAATAGCTGTCAAGCAGGGCGGAGTCCCGATCTACCGCTAGCCTGTCTATTGTTTGGTTCTGTTTGAATAAAGGTTGTTAGCTTTACCTCAGGAGCCTCCTGCCTCATTCTTCCTCAGCTAAACTTCACACAAAATTGTCTGCTACAACATCCTACCTGTCAATGACTATTCAGCTTCAACCGCAATAATACACGACCACACAATAGATTCAAACTCAAGACAAACCACTCCAAACTCAATCGCAGAAAATGTGACCTCAGCAACAGAGTGGTCAATGTCTGGATGCACTACCCAACTCTGTTGTTACATCCTCAAACCCCCATAACTTTAACCTTAAACTGTCTAGTGTGGACCTCACCCCTTTCTTAAGAAGTCCATAAAGGGGGCGGGTATAAGCACACCAACATGCCTGCCATTCCTGTCCTACTGTCTCCATTTGTACCCATTACCTGGATTCATGTACATGTTTACAGTTATACTTGTTATCTCGTACATGTTTGACAAAATAATAAATAAAAAACAAATATAATGATCATGAGTTATTTATTTAGAAAATTTATCATGCCACTACACCAACTCACTCATGGAGACTCTGTGCGTCAGGCCTACGGTTATATTCCTTTTAGGATCTTTGGCCTGCCACGCTCTCTATTATTTCATTATGCTGTTTCATTAGTGTAGTAATTGGGAGGGGGGATAGAAAGGAGTAGAATTGTGGAATGTTTTTTTGTCATTCCTTTCTAAAAGCCCAAGTAGCCCCTGTAGGCCAGCCCCTCAGCCCATCTTTTGTCTCCGCACCTCTGCATTTGATCAGAACTAGATGGGTGGAAAGGCCAGCATGGGTGAAGAAGATTGGACCATGTGATGGATTTATGGGTGTGGGGATAAGATCATGAACTTTCAACTGGGTAGGATCCCAGGAAGCTTTTAGATTTGGGATTCCATGGATTGTATGGACATGTTTGTCTTATTAAATTGGAACTTGGAATCTGATTTAATTTTGCATGATATTTGGAACGCTGATATTATCCCAAATTTAAAAGATTCACATGTTCTTCTAGGGTTTCACAGAAGAGTCATCTGGGCCAACAACCTCCGGAAGAAGATCCCCAATTAAGGTGACATAAAGTCCTACCAATGGGGAGGCATTGGAGGAGGAAAATGCCAAAGACAACCAAATGGTTAGTGCATCCATCCGCCCCTTTACAATAAAATGCAACCTCCAAGTGCCAGAAACGGAAGTGGAAGGGGAAGTTGAAAAGGGGAAATTGTGGACACCGGCTGCACTCGATGCTTAATCAGCAGGTCGATTGTGGAGCAACTAGGTATACGCACAAGACCCCTAAACCATCCCATTCAGTTTGAGCAAGTGGGTGGAACACTGATCGGAGGGGCCATAGCCACAAAAATTACTGAGTTGGTAAAGTTGATAATAGGCTGCTACTATGAATTCCTCAGATTCATCATAGCTCCAAGAATGCAGGAATTAATTATCTTCGGACTTGCATGGCTGGACAAGTGGGTGCCTACAATAAAGTGGGAGGATGGTGTTAGAAAATTGATTATCGGCTTTGGCCCTTTACTACCGGTGGAGCCAAAAGGCCACCCAGGAACGATTGAACCCAACAGCCCATACTGTCCGGAACCAGCAGCACCTGCAACAGACACCAAACCCCCAGGGATCCAACAGGGTACCAAAAGACTACTGGGACTTAGTGGGGGTGTTCAGTGAGGAAGATTGCAACTATCTTCCCCCTCACCAGCCCACAGATTGCGCAATAGACTTCAAACCTGAGGTTACCTTACTGAAGCCAAAATTGTACTCCATGACTCCCAAAGAGATGGTTGAATTGAGGAAGTACATTGACATCAATTTGAAACAGGGATTTATTGAACCAGCGAAGTCAAAAATAGCAGCCCAAACAAAGTTCAACAAAGATATGTTGAACCACTTGGCAAACGGCAAGATCTTCACCAAGCTGGACTTGAGAGAGGCGTATTATCGCATACGGATCAGAGAGGGAGATGAATGGAAGACCACTTTTAACACCCCCACTTGGCAGTTTTCAATACAAAGTGATGCCATTTGGGCTACAAGGAGCACCCACAGTCTTTATGCAGTACATAAATGAGGTGTTACATGAGCACCTGAACCATGGAGTGCTTGTTTATCTAGATGACATCTTGATCTTCTCTGAAATCCTAGAAGAACACGTGAAGCTGGTACAGCAAGTCCTGAAAAAACTTTCGGCTGCCAAGTGTGAGTTTCACAAGACCCCATTAGATTACTTGGATTATCGCATCTTTTGTTTCCACACCTCTGCATCTGACCGGAACTAGATGGGTGGAAATGCCAGCGTGGGTGAAGAAGATTGGACCATGTGATGGATTTATGGGTGTGGTGATAAGATCATGAACTTACAACTGGGTGGAATCCCAGGAAGCTTTTAGATTTCCATAGTTTGTGCCAACATGTATGTCTTATTAAATTGGAACTTTAAGGATAGGTCTGCCTTGTACTCTAATTTAATTTTGCATGATATTTGGAACGCTGACACTGTGAGGCTTACTATAAAACCCCAAATAAACCATTTGATGAGCTCTGTATTACCTTGAGGTCCACCAGCCCCTGGCAAACCATGTCTTCAAGTGTTTAAAAAGAGTACCAAGGTGGGAGCTAATCTTATCTTCACAGGGAAGGGAACACAGGGAACATTATCCCACAGGGAAGGAACCACCACAGAAAAGGCCCTTCTTGGTCTCACTAAGCATCCTAAATAGATAGATAGATAGATAGATAGATAGATAGATAGATAGATAGATAGATAGATAGATAGATNCTCTTGCCTCACCAACGGTATCCTTCACCGTACGTCACTGCTGTACAGTGCAGAGGAGTTACCATGGTAATGGCTTCATAGTACTCTACAAGGGAGCTCCGGTAAGAAGGAAATCTAGCATTAGAAAACACATTTGGTCTAGACATTTTCCCCTATAAATAAATACTTGGGCAATGACAGGTTATCAACTAGTTCTTAATATTTTAGTTTGTTGTGTAATAAAACAATTTGGAAGGCTTTGAATGCAGCTAGTTCTGTTTGATAATAATTTATGCTCTACAAATGCCGTGGCTTTTTCTTTTTCTTCTATCAAATTCACCCTTAATTCTCTAAGATTCTCACTTCCTGTTCTGGCTTGTACTTAAGCCTGTGGTTCCCAACCATTTTTTGGCCGTGCCCCATCTCTAAAAACATATCTAAAATCCTGATGCCCCTCCCCTGTGACATATAATTCTTACTATTCAGAAAGTGAACTTCTACTCACATGGAGGAAGCCTAAAAGGCCATTAGCTTGATTTAAACAAGGTTCCAAAGAATATGGCATCCGTGAAAGAGAAAAATAAAAGAGAGTAGAAACTTAAAAAATAATAGCATGAAGGGCTATAAAATAATTTTAATGAAAGCTTTTTCTGTAATACTTTGATCATATTAATTATTATACATATTAAAATAAAGATACCTAACAAATACCAAATACAATTTGAGCTCACCTCAAGGTCATATTTACAATGCAATCCTATGCATGTCTACTCAGAAGTAGGTACCATTTTCTTCAATGGGGCTTACTCCCAGGAAAATGTTGTAGGATTGCAGCTTTAGTCTACTTGAGTTGGTGAGATCCTTGTGCTTGATGCCTGCTGCAGAGAGATTTTATATTAGGCTCCAATTTAGTCAGCTTCATTCTCCTCGTTCAATGATATCCAGTCGATTTCTTTTCTTCAGTAGGAAATAATCTGATTTGACTAGATGGCTCAGTGGCTAAAACACTAAGCCTTGTCTATCAGAAAGGTCGGCAGTTCGGCGGTTCGAATCCCTAATACAGGTCTCCTACATGAGCAGGGGGTTGGACTAGATTACCTCCAAAGTCCCAAGTCCGTTAGTTTTACTGTTTATTTACAGCACTAAAGCCACATTCAGCTTAATATGAAGATAGGAACGGTAACAGCAGTTTTCTTGCAATGTAGGTTGAATTTGGGTATTTAGTTCCTATCTCATCATAAAGCCATGCCATCGCTCCTTTCATATTGAATAAAGTTTTAAATGAATAATCATTTTGCATTTCTGAGAGTTCTTCTTGGTACTGCATTGAAACATCAGATAGATCCACCAGGCCTCGCTGAATTGCCCATGTTAGAAAATCAATTTGTTTTTAAATCAGAAAACATTTCTTTCAAATCAGAGGCCAATATTTTCAGATGATCCACAATGACAAGTACAGCAGCATCAGTCACCCCACCTTTTTTTTTTAGCCAATGAAACATGTCAAAATTTTGGTCAAAAACATGTTTTTGACATAACTCTATAAATGTAATGAAGCCAAATATCTTCGCCTTAGCATCAACAAGTGTTTTATTTGTCCCTTGAAATTGTTTATTCAACATATCCAGTTTTTCAAACATATCTGCTAAATAACTCACAAATGCTTTACCATCAAAGGTTAGCAGCTTCTTCATTTCAGACTTGTCACTTAAAAAGTCACTAAGAACATCAAATAGTTCCATGAATCTTTTCAAACAATTTCCCTTTGAGAGCCACCTTACCTCAGTGTAAAGTACAGGTGTCACATGGTCTGCATTTTTATCTTCACAAAATTGCTTGAAGAGACGCTCACATTTGGCATCAGCTTTGATAGCATTGATACATTTTATAACTGATTTTAGTACCTCATTAAGAACAGGAAAAATATTTTTGAAGTTCTCTCTATGAATAACACGGTGCATGAGAAGCATTTCTGGATTCTCATCTTTCATCAAATTTAAGCAGCCATTTTTCTTGCCCATCATAACAGCAGCAGCAGCTGCAGCACAAGATGTTATGTTTCCCATTGATATATTATTGACATCTAGGTAATTTTGTAGCTTATTATATATCGGTAGCGCAGGGGTGGGTTCCTCCCGGTTCACCCCGGTTCACGCATACTGGTTGGTCAGTGAACCTGGAAATAATTAACTTCCGGGAATGCCGGTATTGGTCCTGGCCCCTGTCGCTGCAAAGCGCCCTTTTGCCAGGACGTCACAGCTTGCTTGCTCGCTCACCCACGCATCTGCAGCTTGCTTGCTCACTCCCCCACCCATCCACACTAAGCCTAGTCTGCCGCTCACTGATTGGCTGGAGTCCATCCAATCAGTGAGCCGGCTGGAGGTGAAGCAAAGCTTTTTTTGCGCTTGACCTCCATTTGAAAATTCCCTTTGGCCTTTGCCTTCCGTGTAAGCTACGCGGCCGAAAGCAGGGGGGGGGCGGCCTAGCTTTCGCAAGGGAAGGCCTCCAGCCCTTCCCTCGGAAAAGCCGTGGTTTGGTGGTGAAGGCAGCCTACCTTTCACAAGGGAAGCCCCCAGGCCCCCCGCTCTCCAGCCTCGCCTGGCTGCCTAAGCCTGCCAGGCGACCTGCTTAGTGACCCTAGCCTTGTCTGAGGGTCCAGTGTCTTACCTGTTCCTGCTGTCTGCCTGCTTCCTGTTGCTTCCATCCATCGTGACAAGGATCCATCCATCGCATAGGAGTGCTGCTGATTCTGCCTGCTGATAAGTGATCTTTTATTTTTTAATGTATTTTAAAATAATATTTTATTTAATGCACATAATTTTTTAAAACAGTTTTACTTAAAAGTATTGAATGTAGAATATTTTAAAATGATTTACTTCAATTTATTTTGTGTGGATTATTTTTTTAAATTGTCTTAGACTATTTAAAAAAAGATTCTATCCAAAATAAATTAAAATAAACCATTTTTTAAAATTCTATATTCAATACTCTGAAGTGTATTGTGCGTATAATTTTTTATAATAGTTTTATTTAAAAGTATTGAGTGTAATTTTTTTTAATGGTTTACTTTAATTTATTCTGGATAGAATCTTTTTTTAAATTTAAAAAAAAGATTCTATCCAAAATAAATTAAAATAAACNTAATTATAATGTAAGCATAATGATGACACTTTTAATTTTGTGATCCATGAGATTTCCCCTCCTCACCATTTACTACGTGGGTTCCTGTTTTTTCTATACCCATTCAGATTTTTTGGATTTTGAGTACTCAGAACTATCACAGACAGATGGAGTATCAGAGGACTTTCTCTCCAGAGTAGAATAATGAACTGAGGGCTTGTCGTAACTTGTAAATGAATGAGAACTATGATGGCACACCTCTTGGGATTTAAAAGCCAAGGGTTCTTTTACAAAGTAGGACTGGTGCTCATGTCTTGATTGCTCAGATGGATTCTCCCGCTGTTTGGCTTCATTGGAAAGCAAATCTTGATTGGAAGATTCATTACATACCTTATTTTGGTTACTGTTGAGATGAGAACCAATTATCTGTTGAAGGGTCATTGTGGGTGGAAAAGGACAGTCTTCTGTAGCCTTACAAGCAAGCAAGCATTTCATACCGCCCTCGGGGGCGGGCATGCTTCCATGATGAATATTGCCTGGGTGGTCATCTTGCTGTAGGTCAGGGATACCTTCCTCTTCTGAGTTGAACTTTTGCAACAGAAGCTTATTTCTACGATTTCTTAACCCACTGGTCCGCAAAGCAAAGATTAGGTCAACAAGACTAAGAAGAAAGGAGAAGCCCCCAAGCCCCCAAATGAAAAGCATCATGATGGTTTTTTCAGTTGGTCTGGAAATGTAGCAATCAACAAAACTCATGCAAGGAAAGCGGTCACAGGAAAAACGCTTTGGAACAAAAAACCCAAAGAGATAGTACTGACCAGTTCCAAAGCCAGCCTCTATCAATATTCTCATAATCAGATGAACTATATAAGCCCTGGAAAAATCCAGGGCAGCCATTTCATTTCTCCTGCCAATTTTTCTCTTTTTCGCTGAACTTTTGGAGTCCTTTGTAATTTTGCAGCCAGATAAAGGCTTAATTTCTTTGTACTGAGAATAAGGGGAGGAAGAGGCTTTTACAATGTGTCTGACCACACCATGTAATATACAGACACCAAAAACAACATAAGGAAGGAGGACAGACATACTATGAATCAGCCAGAACCGAAAGTGCGATACTGGAGCAAAAAGATCATAACACACATTGGAACATCCTGGTTGCAGTGTGTTGCAGATGAAGCGTTCTTGCTCATCTTGATAGAGAGGATAGGCCGCTAAAAATATCACCATAAATCGTAGGAAGATCACAACTGCTAACCAAATCTTTCCTAGAAAAGAAGAACAAAAACAGAGGGATTGTCAATAACAGAGGAGCAGATATATCTGGGATGGCGAACCTATGGCTGGTATGCCCAAAATGGTATGTGGAGCCATGTCGCCTGGCATATGCAGCATTGCCCATTTCTCTTCCGGGTTTCTGGCACACATGCACATGTGATGATCAGCTGGCCTTTGTACATGCAGCAGTGCCAGAAAACCAGAAGAGCTGGTCTTCCATTTTCCGGTGTGAGCATGCGTGCCGGCCAGATGTTTGGCATGTGTACATGCATGGCAGTAACCAGACGATTTGCTGGTCAGGATGCATATGCGTGCAGGAAACTAGAAGTTCATTTCCGGTGTGTGCATGCTCCTTGGGCAATTCTTCCTGGTTGTGGCACAGAAGTGCTCCCTTTTCGGCACTCGTTGCCGCATGCATGCTCCCTTTTCAGCACTCGGTCCCGAAAAGGTTTACCATCACTTATATATCTTATATGCTGAAGGTTTGGTACAAAAATAACAAATACATGTGTGAACATCTCCAACAGAAAGTTTGAAGCAGCTCTAAAATTGATAGTTATCAAGCTCACGGAACGAATATTGAATATGTGTTTAAGGCAAGATTTTGGTACATGCTTATATCTTAATGTTCTCTGGTTTCTAAACTAGCAAAGTTTAAATGCTGGATGGAAGGAGCAGATGAAAATGTTTATTGGACGTACATTTTTAAAACTGAAGAAAATGTGAAGTCTATACAGTGGGGAACCAAAGATGCTTTTTTTTCTAAAAGCAAACTGGTTTTTTCTTTGAAAATATCTCGCTTCTCATCCAAGAAACTTCTTCAGTTCATGGATGTTCAGTTCTTGAAACAGAAGCATTATGTTGTCAAAGAAAACATATCAACAAACTCACAATAGAATTCCCTATGCCACCAGGCTTGAAATTCTGGGCTTGGACAATCTGGAACTATGCCGCCTGTGGTGCGATCTAAGCATAGTGCACAAAATTGTCTGCTACAATGTCTAGCCTGTCAACAACTTCTTCAGCTTCAACCACAATAATACACGGGCGAACAATTGATGCAAACTCAAGATTCAAACTCGATTGTAGAAAATACACTTCAGCAACAGAGTGGTCAACACCTGGAATGCTCTACACGACTCCATTGTTACAGCCCCTAACCCTCACAGCTTCAATCTCAAACTGTCACCGTGGAGCTTACCCCATTCCTAAGAGGTTCGTAAAGGGTGCATGCATAAGCGTGCCTACTGTCCCTCTCTTACTGTCCCCATTTATCCGTATTTACTTCCTTTGTTCATGTTTATGTTCTTACCTATACTTGTTATCTTGTACATGTTTGAAAAACAAACAAATGAATAAATAAAATAAAAAACAAAAAAAGTCCAGTTGACTTTTTTGCGGCGGGTGGGGGGAACCTTTGGGACAACCATGACCTGGATGTTTGAGAACCTCCACAGACATTCAGGGAGGTTTATCATTCCCGCTGAATGGTAAAACAAGTTTGCGATTCTTAGAAATATCTTTGAATCACTTTTATGCACTATACATGAATAAGAATAGTCATGTTTAATTGCCACTGAAACTATAGCTCACGTCATACTCTTCTGCCTCTCTCACACAGACTCAATTAATAAAATATGTAGGAAATACTGATCATTTTTACCTGTAGCTACTGTTTTCAGATTAGTATGAAGTAGTTTCTCTGAATGTGGCCAAATTCTGCTATGCTGTATGTAAAATTAGGCAAACTCTGACTGCCCACTGTTAAACCACTACCATTCACAATATTTTTTATTATTATTATTATTATTATTATTATTATTATTATTATTATTATTATTATTATTATTATTATACAATTGTATCACAGCGGCCAGTTGTTTNGTGTGTAATGTCCCGCAGTTATCTACGCATTAATAATGATATAGTAATATTAATAATATCTAGTAATTAGTAATATCTAGTAATAACATCGTCTTGGCCACTCCCATCTGGTCACATGGGCAGCAAGCCACTCCCATCTGGTCACATGGGCGGCAAGCCACTCTCAAAAAGGAGGCCATGCCCACAGAGTAGATTCGAACAATTTTTGAAACCCACCCCTGCGGTAGCGGTTGTAGTGGTCTCTAATGATTTGCAAAATAATATTTCTTCAGCAGATTCATCTTAATCAATATATCTTGCATAGGTTAGCAAATCAGCCTCATTGTCTCTCAGAGTTGACTCATCTATTTGCATTGGGAATTTTCTTGATTTCAGCTTTTCAACAAGTTGTGTTTCAATATCTTCACTCATTTCATCTCTTATTCTGCTAACAGTATTGTTACTGAGTAACATGGATTTCACATCTTTGTCATATTTTTACAGAACTGCTTTAAGAAATGCTGTTGTTGATGGGTTAATTAAATCCTCTCCTATAGTATGATTTTTTCCCCAGATTTAGTAATGAGTAAAGAAATTTCATAACTACCCTCAAGAGTAGGACTAACAGTCACAGTTTGTGCAGACTTTATTGTTGATCTTTTTTCAAATTTCTTCTTTAAAGACTTTGAAGTAATTTACATCTGAATTTTATGTACACACTATGCTTCGCCTTCAAATGTGCCTCAAGACAACCTCATTCATTGATTAGTAGGTCAAGCATTGTTGGCTTAAGAGGCAGAAAGATGACCATTCATTATGGATAGCCGGAATGAAGCCAAGTTTTAAAAATTCTTGTGAATACTGACAAGATTTTTTCTTGCTTGAACTACTCATTTTAAGCATAGGGTTTGTGATTAAAGAAATAAATGTGAGAAAAACTTATTAAATTATGCAAATTATTAAAAGAAATAACTATTTAAAAAAGATGGCACAGAAAGAAGCAAATTTAAAAAAAAATCTTAGTTTAATTTATGAATAATAAGATTGTCATGAATGAAAGGGGGGTTATAATCTATGACTTGTCCATTACTCGCCCACTCAGTTTGAACCTGCAGCTTAGTGGGGAAATGCTTTGGTAGTTCAGTAGGTAGAGGTGAATCACACAGGTCTGGCAAGGCCTACGCATGTCTCCCCACAGAGCAGCTGTCTCTGCAAAAAAAACCAGCAGCAAAGCCCACAGGAAAGAGAGGGAGGGAGACTCTGCCAGTCCATGATCCTTAGTGGGAACACATCTGATTGACTGGTAGTTGCTCCCTCCCCACCCCAGCTGGGATATTCTTTTCAGACCAGGCCCTAGGAAATGCACATTCAAGACAACAATAGGTAAATGAAACACAGCTGTTTCATCAGAAATATAATGAACAATTAGTGGGCTTTCAAAAATCCAGTTAATAGCTTGTTTTCAAATTGCCCCCATTAATTTTTCCCCTGTGGGGCATGGGCCTCACGTTGGGAACTACTGACTTAAGCCATCAATGGAAGACTCAGACCTGCTGATTTTAAAGGAAAAGTGAAATGTTAAAACACATTCATTTTGCACATAATTACCCATGATAAGTAAAGAGATCTTCAAATGGAATTTACAATACCATAAAGATGGCATTAGGTTAGCCTAACTTGGAAGAGTGCACCAGAGTTCAGATGCGCTTCTAAAAAATGATTTAAAACATATTCAGACACAAGCAATAGAGTTTTCTTGAAAACTTTGGTCAGTGTTTCATTTCAATTTCCTAATCACTTGTGCAACACAAAACCAGAAACTTAGCAAGGACATTCTTTACAGCAATCATCAAAAGAATGCCTTGAAAGAATCCTAGAATTACTCAAAGATGATCAACATTAACACTGCATTTAGATCAGTATAAATATAATAGTAAATGTACTAAACGGGAATAAGTATACAATAACATTTTTTCCCAAATGCAGCAATCTGTACAATTATTTCAGCAATAAAGAAATCAAAGGTGATTATGATCAAGTGGAATCTACACTGTATATCAGACATTAATACAATTGAACGAGTCCAGAGATATTTCACGAGAAGAGTACTCCACTCCTCTGCTCATAATAGAATATCTTATGCCACCAGGCTTGGAATCTTGGGCTTGGACAACCTAGAACTACGCCAGTCTACGGTTTGATCGAAGCATAGTAAACAATGCAAGCGTTCCTTGGCCTTTTAAATTTCTACGGANTGCACAAATTCCAATGGATCATTTGTGCTACTGAATTGTGCCGCAATTTATAATCAGTCTGCGCGATTTTTTTACAGCAGCTGAGTATGTGATCTATTATTATTATTATTGTTATTATTATTATTATGCTTTTATTTGCTGGTCTGTGATCGTAATAATAATAGATTGATTGATTATAGATAGACTATTTGGGTTTTAAATGACTTGTCATTTAAAAAAAAATTAAGGCATTAATTACAGTAGTAGATCAACAGACCTATAAAGAAAATAATGACTATGATGGAAAAAGGCCCATACATTTATTAAGATAACTTACTATCTCAGTCATTACTCTGTACCATTCATATTATGTTCATACAGGTTTAAACAAGCTATCATGCATGACTTATTAAGACCTTGTCCTTCAGAGAACTTCACTGTAACAAGTAACAGCTGAAAAGTTAACTAATCCTTTAAATAGCTAAACACAAATACATACCTTACAAATAATGTACTCACCTATAATCGTCTCATTGTAGCTTAGAGCAATGATGAGGAAACTGAATGCATTTGAATACTCCATGCTGAAACTTGATTGCCCAATTTTTGAACCTATAACGAAAATCTCTGCATTCTGAAAACCTACAGAAATCTAAACAGAGAGAGCAAAATGAGAAGTACTGAAAAGATGGCCAGAGAGTGGAAGGAAACACAACTTTGCAGAGTGGAGCCAGCCTTCTTTAGAAAATATAGCTGAAGACATTTGTTGCTCTCACCTCTGCCCCAACAACTGCACAAAGACAAAAGGCAGTAGGGATTATCCTGGCTATTGTCAGCTTTCCTTACCCTCTTGGGGGCATTCCAGGTTCCTAAAATTACTGGGATAGTTGAGCGATGAAAGATAAATTGAGAGAAGAAATAATAGAACAAGCTTTGTTTTGCCCAGGTGATAGAAATGAGTATCACAAGGGAAGAGGATATAGCAACACCAGCTGCCAGGGCTCCCAATGATATTGTCTTTGTAGTGGCCAAAGTCTTTGAAACAGATATGAAAGACAATTCCCTAAAGCCAGTTGGATTAAGCGGTGAGACACAGAATTCATGGATGTCCCCGCATGTTTCTTTTTCCATAATGGCTTCTTCTCTTCCCAAAAGAAAAACTCTAAGGTTGATGATGCTTAACCTGTCCAGCATTAGGAACGCATGAAACATTATGGATGCATGAAACATTTTGAACCTGAAACACTCTGCTCCAGATGTTCTGACCCTTCCAGAAGTATTTCAAGATCAAATTCTCACTTTAAAAAAAAAGACGTCATGTTGCTTGAAACACAGAACATCTCCAGTATGATCAGAATGACTGATCTGAATTCAAGCCAACATATTTTGAAATTTAAAAAAATTGGATCACCTGACTGAACATTTCAGGTGTTCGGTAACCCAACCTTTAAGAACAAAGAGGAGGGCTTTAATTTGTCTAACTTCTGACTTCTGTAGTGCCCTTCATGGTATTGGACCTGGGTACTTGAGGGACTGCCTGCTGCCAATTACCTCCACTAGACCGATTAGATCCCACAGATTAGGCCTCCTCCGAATTCCATCCGCTGGCCAGTGTCGACTGGCAACTACCCGGAGGAGAGCCTTCTCTGTGGCTGCTCCGACCCTCTGGAACGAACTCCCCGTGGAGATTCGAACCCTCGCCACCCTCCAGGCCTTCCGCAAAGCCCTCAAAACCTGGCTGTTCCGGCAGGCCTGGAGCTAAAGAGCTGTTGCCCCCGTCTCGAATGGTATGACTGTTGTGAGTTTTAAATTATATATTGTTATGTTTGCTTTTTAAAAATTTTTGTTTGTATCCCCCTTCCCCGGTTCGAGTTGTGAGCCGCCCTTCAGGGGAAAAGGGTGGCATACAAATACAATAAACTGAACTGAACTGAAACTGAGTGCTAAGCCAGTTGCTTAGCAGCCATTCAATGTTGCAATGGAACCTTTAAAGGTACTTCTCATCCACTTACAAAGACCAACACCTCCCATGGTTATGTGGCCTCATTTCAGATGCTCAACAACTAGTCATCTGCAGAATCCCATATTTATATGAGTACAATTTATAATCTTTTTTATGATATTTCCCAAAGGTGCTTTTTCAAAAAGCAACTGGACTTTGTTTCTTCTTTGGCACTATACTTCTCATTCAAGAAAAGTCCTCTTCAGAACTGAAGAAGCTTGTTGGATTAGAAGCGAAATGTCTTAAAGGAAAAACAAAAAATGCCCAGTTGCCTTTTTGGGAAACAAAACCCCCAAACACCTTTAACACAACCATGGCTTGGATGACTGAGAATCTCCAGGTTTTTGCTGATTTGTTGATGCACAATTTATTCACATTGAAGTACATTATCAGTGTTTTATACATTTGAAACCTTCTCTGTTTGTACTGTTAAAAAGAGGGAAATTCAATGTATATATATGGTACTTAACTTTGCGAAGAAACTGTTTGGCGTGTTTTTTAGTTCTGGATTCAAGAGATAGAAGGATGGAATCCTGACAGAAGTACCATGAAAGAAAGCCAGAAAGCCAAACACTGAAAGATGAAGGTAAACAAACAGGATACCCAAAACAAATCAGCTTGCCATAAAGTTGTTTTTCCCTGAATGGTCTTTCATATAGATGGGAACTGTGCCTGCACAGAATCTCTGCTTTTGGCTCAAAGAATTCAAAACAGTGTCTACTCTTTTTCAAGACAGAAAATGCAACATAAGATAAATTTGTTCCAGATATGAGTGTTATGTCTTCCTCATTCAGTGGGAGTAAACCTGAGTATTCAATGCTTAGTAAATTTATGTTTTGTAGTGACCAACAACAATGAAAAGCGGCGAGAAGCTATCCTTTCCCAGAAAACAAATTATACTTCTTTTCTACAAATGTACAAGGCAGTATTCTACTTTTTCTAAAGTTTAATAGGCCTTTGAAATTGTGTGTGTGTATGCGCGCGCGCGCACGTGTGTGTGCATGCATACTATTTGGGAATTTTTCTTCTGTTTCCTTATTTCAGTTATTTTCCTTATTTTTTATTTTCCTTTTTAATGAGAGTATTTTCATTTCCTTAATGAAATTGGTACCCTCCAAGTGGCATGACTGAAGCAGCACTAGGCTCTTCACATACCGTATATAAGGCTTAATATATAATTTTCTATAATGAGTATCTGTTAATGGTATGTAGGAATGACCCTTGGGAGCATAGGCCACAATTGCATAGTGGATGAAGCAAGATGCTCTGGAGCAACCCTCCCTAAATTATTATCAGGTCATAAAGGAGAAAGCAGGAGAATCAAATTTTCAGTTTTCCAAGATTCTGTTAATGTATCTTTACAATAAAATGGAATTGGCTTATCAGGCAGACTTTCTTGTCTGTTCTGCACCTCACAAAGAAAGTGGAGTTCCTGTACATTGTTTTGAGTCTTATGTCAGAATATTCATGAATTGGAATAGGACATAGCAATAGGTCAGCCATTGGGGACAGGCTGGAATAGAACATGGTAACAAAAGTCAGCCAATGTTTGAGTTTGAGTTTGAAGTTTATTTATATGCCGCCCTTTTCCCTGGGGGGACTCAGGGCAGCTCACAACCCAAGGGGGAGGGGCAGACAAACTTTTAACATATAAGACAATACATAATTAAAAAACACAACATTCATACCATTCGGGCGGGTTACAGTCTTAGCCCCAGGCCTGACGGGATAGCCAGATTCTGAGGGCTGTGCGGAAGGTCTGGAGGGTGGTGAGGGTACGAATCTCCACGGGGAGATCGTTCCATAGGGTCGGAGCTGCCACCGAGAAGGCTCGTAGTTGCCAGTCGGCATTGACCGGCAGATGGAACTCGGAGGAGGCCTAATCGATGAGATCTAATAGGTCGCGTGCAGGTCGCGTGTATATGCATAACAATTAAGTCAGCCAATGAGGGCTGTTTGCAAACTGAAACAGTATTTGCTGGAGACAGCTAGGTGCCTGGGTGTGGTTTAGGCTTAGTTTAACTGCCCTATTTAGAGGAGGTTCTTCTTATCTGCATTAAGCTCTGAACTCTGAAATGAAATCAATTTCTCCTCTGCCTGTGTTTTTCCTGTAACTACTACCACGTTGGAAAATCCACTATTGGTGTTGTACATTTACTCATGTGTTATTATGTATATAAAGAAATCAATGAATCCTGCTGAATCAGTTATCTGTGTGTGCTTTCCAGAAGTGATTTCTGCAACAATCTCTGACATCTTAGCCGGCAACTTTTTCTAAGAATTCTTTATTTTAAAATTCAGAAATTCAACCTTTCTCCTCAGCCTTTCATGTAACCATCTCTATTCCATCTTGATTGCCGGGGAAGAAAGATCTAAGGTAGAAAAGAAATGGGGAGTATCTGTGCCTCTCTACGTCTCAGATTACGTTGTCAATTATTTGCCCAAATATATTTTGTTTGCCATGAAGGAGGACTCAAAGCCAACCTGATATGAACCTGCATGTTATCCAATGATTTGTGACATTTCTCCTTAGTAACCGTATACAGTTGTATGATTTTTTTTGTAGCCTTAAAGTTACTACTGAGCAATACCTTGTGACATGACTTTTTGCCCATGAGCTCTTAATTTACAGAAATCTCAACACGCACAAGAATTGGTTACACTATTATTATCTATTCCAAAGACCATCTGCAGAATTTTTTCCCAAAAAGAGACTGGGGTTCCAACAATATTTAATTAGGCACATGTATAAATCTAATTCATTAATATTTTGATTAAATGCGTGAGTTAAAGAATAGTTCAAATTGGGAATGAGGGAAACACAATTTTATAAGAACAGTGTACAAAGCCTTTTGGGAAAAAACATGGTGTTTTTCTGCAATTTTTGGCAATACAAAAATTAAAGACTGCAGTTGATTTACAGAACTATTCTTATAAAAGATAAAACTTTCCTCTGTCCAGTCATGGTGGTCATCTTTTATTAGCTAAGGGACCCGGCGCTGATAAAAAACATTCCCATGGTCACGTGGCCAGCACCAAAGTGCATAGAAACTGTTAACATCTTCTCACTGAAGTGGTACCTATTTATCTATTTGCATAGTAAATATGGGGCAAGTAAAACAGAATTATTCTTATAAGAATTCTATTTTTAAAGCATTTTTAAAAGTAACGTAGCTTGCAATAACGTAATATTAATAATGAGAAAACACCACATTTAACAGATTTCCTTTTTTTAATTTGTAGTGCAAGAAACATAACCAAGTTAAATCACAGAATCAGTACTAGTTGAAGAATGTGGAAAATTCTCCTATACAGAGGTAGAATCCAGTGCACAAAGCTAAAACAATATCCAACAGTCTAAACAAGACTGAGCAAGGTTTTATGGAATCCACTTGAAATCTTAAGTATCAGACTGTATGTACATACATACAATAAACAGACTATACAATCTTTAAGGTTGTTTAATAAACTTCACAAAATTAGAATAAATTTATTGAAAACTTTACATAAAGCAAACTTTTTCTCTTTCTGTCATGCCTTTCTTTAAATCCACCTGCCTTGTTATTATTATTATATTTGCTGGAAAAAAAACCTGTTCTGCAAAATCTCAATAAAGCAATTGTTTTTAGCCATATAGATCTAGTCCATTTCAATTTAAAGGTGGCGATTCTTTTCTCTCACCCTGCTATTTTCCTGAAATTAAAAGACACTTTTAAATAATTCATTAAAAAAAAAAGGAAAAAGTCCTTTAAGGTCCTTGATTCCAGGCCTTTGAGGACAGGAACGTGTTCCTTTCTTCCAAAATTAAGCCACATAAATGTGTTATTTCATGAAAATAAGGGTATTCCATTGTCTATAAATAAACTACCTATGATCATGGTTTTAAGGCTTAATGAGATCCATGTCAATAACGCTTGTCTCCTTATGCTGCTGCTGAAACTAATGGGAATGATTCTGGAATACAGTGATAGATGTTTAGCCTAAGCAAGATCCTTATTAAATGTCTGGAAGGTATGAAGTGCAAGGGACAGTAAGGAAATGCAGGAAGGAAAATTCCTGGTGAAACATACTTTCTCTGTTTTGCTGAAGCAATACACAAAAAGCAAAACCAATATCATCAAAACATCCCTTGACAAGTGAATTCAAGAAGTCATGATACTCAAGCTGATTTTGGCTGATTGGTTGGTTTTCTGTATGGCACCTTTCTCGCATGTGCAAACTCAATTATTTGTACAGAACATGCGTGTATGTATGCATGTATGTATGTGTATGTTTTCATAGATTTTCACCGGATATATATATGGGAAGGATGACAACCAGTTTTTAAAAATAATCAACAAAGTAATACAATTTTCTTCACAGTTTGCATTTTGTTTAAATTCCTATGAGCACCTACGCTGGGAAAAAAACCTCATTTTTATTCCAAAATCTAATCTGTGATAAAACACTTGTTTTTATTACACACACACACATGCCCCCGCATGTAAATGTATGTATGCATGTGTGTGTGTAACACATACACATATAATTCTTCTCTTTTTTCTTCCATAGATCCTTGAATCCATGGAACTTTTTTTAATTTTTTTTCTTTTTTATATATAAACAGATTGGTTTCCACTTAAAGTAAAGATATAAAACCCTTTTGAGGCTATTGCTTGCAACATTGAACCAGGGAGTGAAGAAAATCAACTATTTGGGCCATACAAAAAAAGATTCTTACTCTCATTCTTTCATTGCATTTCTCTCGCTTGACTCCACCTAATCTCTAAACGATTTTTAAAAAAATCTTGCAAAAGAACTATTATATCTAAAGCAATGTCTGCACGTTGGCCCAAGTTTCACTTGTCACCTGAATCCTTTTAGCAACTCTGTCTTTACAGTAAGAAAAAATAAACCCATCTGAAAAAAGGTAGGAAGGCACATGCAACCACATATATAATACAAAGCACCAGTACTGAAAGTGCACCTTAAGGGCAATATCATGACACCGGTTGCTATAAATTAAAAAAAAAAATAGAGAGAGAGAGTAAAATAAAATTATGCTCAATCACCTGATCTTATATACTTTGGGTTCAGCACTGTCAATCAATCGGTTTCCCCAAAAATACAGTAAAAGCACACAAGAAACAACAATATCCATAAGCATTAAGAGGCAAAAGGCTAATAAAACAGCTTATGAACAAAAGCACATCAAAGTGTAGGGGCAAAAGGAAAAGGCTCTCTAATAAGAGGTTCATGTTGTGCTACTACAGGCACTGCCTTCTCCATGGTTGTTACAGAAGAGAAAGCAAACTCAATCAAAAAGCAAAAAAAAAAAAGAATGTGAAACCACTAGAAGATATTGAAGAGGATCTCAAAACAAGTCCAACTTTTTTCTTATTATGGTTCTCGCAACCTTCTTTTGAGACATTGGTTTTCATGCCATTATTTCTGTTAAGGGCCTTTTATTCTTCCTCCTCCTCTTTAATGATCTTGTATTGGTTTCTGAGGTTTCATCCTCGCTAAGTGGGATATTTTGCACAAATATTTTTAAATATTTGCTTTCTCCCCATCAAAAAGCAGAGGAGTTGTAATAAACAACAAAACAAATCTTCTTTCAAAGTTCTTTGTAATGAATCCCTATAGTTATTCTTGTGTGCTACACAAAAGGGGAGGCACTGTAAAGGCAGATCTAAAAATAAGGGGAAAAAAATAACCAGAGAAAAAATTCACCAAAACCAACCCTCCCATCCAAAGTTGATGATAGAAACAGTACTTCTAGAGTCTTGTATCTCAGATTTCACCGTTAGGAGATAACTGCAGGAGACCATCGAACTACAGACAGATTGTCTGAACTGACTGACCGTTTCTTTGCAGATTTCCTGAAATCCTTATATTTATCTTCACACAAGCGTGAAATAGCCTGTAAGAGAATGGAGAACGAAGAGGGTCAAACATACATGATGACTTGATTTGGCAAAACCTCCAGATTCAAAGTAGGTCCTCCACCATTATGGCACATCCAAGTGTGTGCCAAGAGAATGGCACCTGAAGCAAAATATATTCTTATAACATAAATGCATGGACTCCAGTATTATATTGAGCTAAAATATTGCACCAGGACCTGGGCCATCCTCCAGTCAGGGTAGCTGTTTGGATGACTTTGGACTATTCATCTTCTTCTAGCCCAACTTACTCCACGGGACCAGGAAGAAGCAGAAGATGGAATTCTATGGATGCTGTCTTGAGCTCCCATAGGAGTGATAGGACACAAATCTATCAGAGAAATCTATCTACTCTTTCACCAGGTCATGGAAAAGCTGAGGAACCTCACTCTCTTAGCAATAGCAATAGCAGTAGACTTATATACCGCTTCATAGGGCTTTCAGCCCTCTCTAAGCGGTTTACAGAGAGTCAGCATATTGCCCCC